CCATGAAAACCTTTCTGATTCACCACCAATGCAGGGAAGATTTTAGTAAGAAATGGGACAAAAGGTGTGAGGGCACTGACAGCACTTTGTTTCCAGCTGGTGAGGTGAGGTTTTTCTTCCAGCAAAGCCAGCTGGAGCGTGGTGGCTTCAAGCAGCTTGGAGGTTTGGGCTGGGGAGTGCAAGTTCTGTGCTGTTAAAGGAAACATGTTTCCAAGGCTGGGCTGTTTGCACTCTCTTTGACTCACAGGTCCAGCCAATCTTGGGACTTTGGGGACCCACAGACAGGCAGCAAACCTAGCTGAAAGCCTATGGAGATGCAGTGGAGCAGCAAAGGAAGGCTAGCAAGTTTGCAGACTGCTCATACAGGTGATTCCTATGTGCCACTGACAAAAGCAAAGTGGTTCCAAAAAAGGGTGAGATAAGACTGTGGGGCCTCTTTTACCCTAGTGTGAATATCACTTCTAATTCTGAACATTTTTCAGGAACAGTGTGGGAGAAACTTGCAGGGTTTCTTCCTGTGTCATTTGAGGAGGGACCAGTCCTGTTGCTGTCCTTCATCCATGTCAGAGTGACCTGTGCAGTCTGCACAGCTTCATGTTATTCAGGGCAGAAACTGAATTTGGAGCTGCTCAACATTACAGATTTATTGCTGTTAAAACCAAAACAAACTCCAAACCTACTTATAAAATATGAGTGAGTAAGCAGACCTAGAGGTCCTCTGGCTCACTGTGCCCTGTTCTCATAGTTCTACCAATGAAACTATGGAGAATTTAGCTCCTAAAATAACACTACACGATACCATGCAGAGGTACTAAATCCATCCCTAAAAGCAAGGTAGCACACTCAGGACAGATTATACTAGACCATAAAGCCCTTATGTTTGGCTGATGTTGGATGTTCAGACTGGAAGGCAGCTGCTCTGACCTCAGAGTGTGACTGGATTCATAGAGGAGGGACAGAAGGTTCCTTCTTCGGCTGCTGCACTTCGGTCGCAAACCTTGTCTGCTTTGTGACCTCCTCAGAAGCTGTTTCTTGATTAACATGAGATCCCAGAGTGCGTGGCTCTCTGAAGGCCATGTCATGTCATCATGTCGTGTCTCATTCTGCCAAACAGATGCAAAGTGAACTTTCTTCCCCCAAACAGCACAAGTTCCGCTTTCCTTTGAGAGGAAATATTTAACCACATCTGTGAAGGCCCCCTTGGTTCTGTTGGCACATCTCTCATGGGCCTTGTAGCTGCTTTTTCCTCTCATGTCATTTTGGTTTGAACAAGTCACTTTCTACTGCCTTGCTGTTTAGTAACACATTTCCAGTAATCTCCCGGGGCTGCAGGACTTCTTTCTATTCACAGACCTTCACAGCTCAGAGACTGACAAGGAAACTACTGATTATACCTTCCCCTCATTAGCTAAATAGAATAATTAATGTGACTGATAAGGGAGTCGAACTAGTTGCTCTTGGTCTGTCAGTGTTAATTTACACTCTCACCGAGGTTTCAGCTTGTCTCCAACATCCTTTTGGGAAAATTGGGTGGGATATAAAAATTTGCCTGATACTGAATCTGTTCCTAATAGCAGTGATCATCCTTTTACCACCAGTTTGCAAGTAGTCTGCAGGTTTTCCAAGCACCAAAGGCTGCATTTGGTACTCCCAGATGACTCTCTGTCTTGACTCTGTCAAACGGGTCATTATCTCTAGTTGTGGAGAAAAAGTCATGCTTCTCATCATAACTAAGCTTCAGAGAAATGGTAGTTGCAGTATTATCTGTGCAAATGTAGTTGTTCCCAGTAGATGGCATCGCAGCAGTGCAGTCCTGACCCAGATGAGTTCCTGTCTCTGCTTGGGCTGTCAGAACAATCTCCATCACTCTGTGCACAGAAGGGTTTGTTTTTTTTTTCTCCTAGCACTCAAGATTAATGGCGTTCAGAACATCTTTTATTTTCATTTTCTAGCCAATAAAAGAAGTCACTTCTATTTGATGCATTTTTATAGCATCTTGTTGTTAGCTTTTTCAATGTGCGTAACTCCGTAATCACTTTATTTTAGAATATTTGTCAAGACACTGAGTGTTTTGGGTTGTATTCACAAAAATGCTGACCTCTGGGCACTGCTCTTGCATGTAGAAAACTTTTGTCCTCAGGTTATGGATCTGTGCTTTCTGTATGGAAGAGAGGCAGAATTATGTACTTCACACCAGCTCCACAGCAGCTGGCAGGGAAACAGAGGCCAGTTAAAAGAAGCTGATAATTTTAACTGATGAATTGCATGATCAGGTTTTTAGGTAAATTCCTCTGTACAGTCTCAAAAATGCAAGAATATTGTAGACAGATATGCTTGCATTAAAAAAAAAACAACCAACCAAGCCAAATATGTAGGTAACAGTTTTTCATAGAATGGAAACTGGTTTTGCTGCTAATGTCAAAGTCAGGGCTGACAAAACCCTGTTACCTGACTGCTTGGACATAGCAAGAGTGGACATGCCAGCCCTTCCACAGACATCTCATAAAGTCAGTCTTTAAAACACTTGTCTTCAAGTCAACTCACTGACATTATTCATTAATCAACAATTTACATTAGAAAAAAATATCTGCCAGAAACGTGGGTGTCATATTCTATTGTTTACCTTTGCATTCCAATGAATGTAAATTAGATTTTGTCTGTATTTAACCAGGCACTTGTGGATTTTAAGCCAAGACAAGCTGATTCATTGAAGACATGACATTTATTAGCTTACTACCCAATTCACAAAAAGCCACAGTAAAATTTAAATATTTTCTCATGATTCATAAAGCTTCTAGTCCACCAGGTTTTGCACTTGCAAGGAAAAAAAGTTCAGAGCATTTTTCTTTGCATCTAAAAGCATCTTGTGGCTTGGGGAGGAGAAGAGGGGAAGCAGGAAGCAAGACGTGTGTCTCAAGGACTTGGGCATCACAGGTGTGGGGAATGGCACCTTTTCCCATTTGGGATCCTTAAAGTTGAGTCCTTTTCTGAAATAAGGAGCCTAATGCAACCCTTGAGGACATGTGTGTGTGCATGAATGTGAACTGAAATACAGGTAACAACCCCAGGCAACGCTCCAGGCTTGGGGAAGAGGGGCTGGAAAGTGCCCAGAGGAAAAGGACCTGGGGGAGTTGATTGACAGTGGCTGAATATGAGCCAGGGTGTGCCCAGGTGGCCAAGAAGGCCACCAGCATCCTGGCTTGTACCAGCACTGGGGTGGCCAGCAGGAGCAGGGTAGGGATCATCCCCCTGTGCTGGGCACTGGGGAGGGGGCACCTGGAATCCTGGGGTCAGTTCTGGGCCCTCATGACAAGAAGGACATGGAGGGGCTGGAGAGTGTCCAGGGAAGGGCAGGGGAGCTGGGGAAGGGGCTGGAGCACAAGTGTGAGCAGGAGCAGCTGAGGGAGCTGGGGGTGTCCAGCCTGGAGACAAGGAGGTGAGGGGAGACCTGCTGGCTCTGCAGCTGCCTGAGAGGAGGTTGGAGCCAGGGGGGTTGGTCTCTGCTCCCCAGGAGCAAGGGATGGGACAAGAGGGAATGGTCTCAAGTTGTGCCAGGGGAGGATTAGATTGGATATTAGGAACAATTTTTTCATGGAAGGGGCTGTCAGGCCCTGGCCCAGGCTGCCCAGGGCAGGTGGAGTCACCCTCCCTGGAGGGGTTTCACAGCCCCGTAGATGTGGTGCTGAGGGACACGGGGAAGTGGTGGCCTTGGCTGGGGTAATAGTTGCAGTTGATGATCTTAAAGGTATTTTCCAACCAAAATGATTATATAGTTCTGTGTTAGCATTCTGTTTGTTGCTCAGATGAGCACCCACACAGGTTAGGAGCCCTAATGTGTCCCAGCAGAAGTTCTGACTAAGCTCTTGTGCCCAAGGTCTCTCTCAGGCTCAGCCCCAGGTTCTATGATTCTATGTTTATCCAGAACATTGAGAGAGATGCAGGATTTCAGGTTCTGACAGGCTGAGATTGCTGTTGGTTAGGATTTGGGAATCAAAGTTTCAAATAAAGTGGTCAAAGTAGTCCTTGGACTTGATTACATTGACTTGCTTACATTCTTACTTGATACTGGCAGTCAGTCAGTATCATTTATATGGTTTGGTACCAATATGTTTATTTGAAAAGAACTGTGTCTTGGGCTCTCTAGCTGGACTTCTGCAGAGGTTGCTGTTCTAGCCCCACTCTGCTGTTTGCCACTTCTGCCAAGTTTTGCAATTAAATCTTCTGCATTTAGCATGTAATAAAAAATAATTTTCTATTTGCTGGGAAAATGAGCAGAATGGTTGAACTACAGGGGAAACTGAGAGGGGAAAAGCAGCAGCAGCCTTTTTGAGTATTGAAACTGGTGTGACATACATGTGCAGAGCCCAGCTGCTAAAGGACCTAGGTGGAAAAAAGGAAATTTGCCAGGGAATGTTTTTTTTTTTTTTTAAGGAAAAAATGCTGTGTTCTGTGTATCTGTCACTAAACCCACATCTCTGAGTGACTCACAGCTGCCTGTCATGCAGTGAGCAGGAGCAAAGGCACTGCCAGTGCTGGGTCCTTGTTCCCAGGGCAAGAGCCACGACTGGCTGTGCTGCAGCCCCATGTCTGCAGGTGGGACCTGATGCTGGGCTGGATTTATCTACCTCTGGAGATGCTTTGCTGATGGGGGCTGCAGCTTCCAGCAGTCATCTGTGTGTCCAGCTGCATCCCTGTGCAGCTGCATCCCTGCTTTCCTGTCCAGCAGGGCCCTGGGGCAGACCTGCACTGGGAGAACCAGTGATGCAGCTCCCAGGCTGTTGTTTCCACCCATCCCATCTGGCTGCCAAGGGAGAGGGGGTTGGGAAACAACAGCAGAAAGAGGTGGGAGGAGATGGGGAGCGCAGGGAGGTGCAGGCACCTTCCTCACAGGGTGAGAACCTGGTTCAGAGAACACTGAGGGTCAGTCCCCTTTGTGGTGGACATAACTGGTGGGTGTGCAAGGCCTCCATCACCCTCACACTGATGTTTGTCTCCAACAGAAACGACCTGGGAGCGGCCAAGCAGTGTCCCTGGGACTCCAAAGAGCCCTGCGTCACAGAAGAGTTCTGCAGGTACTGTTTGATGCTGTGCCTGACCACTGCACTGGGTCAACCTGCTTCTCTGCCACTGAACAGAGCAAAGGAAAATGCTGTCACCCCATGGGATGTGTATGTAATGTGCACAGTCATGGGAGTGCAGCAGAGTAAACGTGGTGGGGCTTTCCCTCCCAATGCAGTTTCTCACCTGCTGTTTGCCTACTGATGCATCTTCTCAACAAGTTGCTTGGAGTGGAGATGGCTCCTTTCTTGGGGCATGGAGGCAGATGGTGGCCCAGGGGGTCAGCAGGGCTGCTGGCTCTGGGAGGGAACTCACAGTCCTGCTTTCTGCTGGGGCAGGGGAAGCCAAAAACTGCAGAGGAACATGGGCTGGCTGTAGCTGTTCCACACAGAGGGCATGTGGACAGTGAAGCTTTTTAGCAAGTGGTAGCTACAGGGTTGACCACTTTACCTCTCTCCTGACTTGAAGTTGCAGGGAATCAGGTAAGAGAGAATCAGCTGTAAAACTGTACTTTGGGTACTGCAGAAAGACAAAGCAAAGCAAAAAGTACTCTAGAATTAAAAGTGTTAAATGTAAAGGTCATTGCTGCCAGCTGACTGTAAGTAATGCAGCCTAGAGGATGCTTTTCATAGACTTCTTTTGAACTGATGCCCCTCTGTCAGCAGAGCTGAGTGTGATGTATGCTTGAAGAGTGTACATTTTGTTGTGACCAAAGGATTTGAGATGCAGTTGTGTATCTTGTTTCAATCCTACTTTGAGCATGATTCTTTGCTCAGTATATTCCAAAGATAAAGCACCTACAGCTGTATGCTTGAGCCATGAACGTCTTACAAAGCTTGATTTCTTGACATGAAATGACATCCCCATTAAACCAGTACTTTTTAGATAACCTACTTCTTCAAACACATAATTTTTCACCACAAGGACAGTCAAACCCTGCAATAGTCTCCCAAGGGAAGTGGTAAATTGCCCTACATTGGACAGTTTTAAGCCTCAGCTGGACAGGGTGCTGAGCCACCTCATATAGACTAAAGCAGTACCTAGAAAGGTTGGACCAGATGATCCTTGAGGTCACTTCCAACCTGGCATTCTAGGATTCTGTTATTTTACCACACAGCTCTATGGGAACTGTTTTGAGTTTGGAAGTCTCTTTTTCTTGACTCTTGTCAGCTCAGTAACTCCTGTCATAATTCCTGATAAGAGCCTGCTGCAGGATCCTGACAGCAGAGTGGGCCCATGGGCTGAGCTTCTGTAGAGTCCAGTTCTGGGGACCTTCTGGGTTGGAGCCAACACATCACACTGCCAGCCTGTTGGGGTGGGGAAAAGCATCCCTAGTTTCTGAGGCTGGAGGCAGTGAACCCTGGTGACTCAAAAAGGCACCGTGATTTTATAGCTGTGTATTCAATGATGTGATCAGTCTTCAAAATGTGCAATTCTCCCTTTGCTCCCAGCAGCAAGCCTGCTAACTCTCCATCTGTTCTCACAGTGAATGGCTACCACATCTCTGGGACTCCAGTCCACCAGCTCGACTCTGGCCACATGAGCCTCCGAAAAGCAAGTGGGGACCCTCAGGTATGTTCAGGGGGGAAAAGCCAAGCAGTGGTATCCAAGAATAAATGGGTCTCCACTTAAGCAGTTTAGGAATCTGCCCAGAGCGGAAGATCAAGAGGCATTTTTTTCTTAGAAACTGTCAGATCAGACAGATCTATTTCATCTAGAATAATTAGCCTTTGTGTCTAACTGATAAAACAGTACAAAATGCCAAGATACTTGGGATTTTTTTTGCCCTATCACTCTTCTCTGTAAAATCCAGCAGGCCACTTTAGTCACTATTAACAACTCGACAAATTTTCCTGCCACTCCAGCCTGAAGCCTGGGCCTGTCTCCAGCACAGCCCTCTCTCTAGGCTTAAACATCTGCCCATGTATCTGTATCTCATTGTATTTTCTTGCAGCTCCAGCCTTCCCTCCCAAAGACAGCATTCACAAAGAATTTGTCTGAAGCTTTTTTCTCGATTACTTCATCCATTCCTGGATGTCCTTTTTACAGGCCCTCCTCTGTGTCTCACATAGCCTGTGCCTCACCCATCACCCCAGGGTAGTGCTCCAGATGCTGACTCGTGGACAGCCATTCTCCCCAGCCTGTTTGTCCAATTTTTCAATAGCTGTTCCTTCACTTTTTTTTGCACCGCTCCACGTCCCTGGGAGAGTCTTCCCCTCAGGTCTGCAGATGCAGCACAGGGCCCTCTTCCAGCTCCCCCCATGAAACTCTTTGCTCCCTGCCAAAAGAGCAACAGCTGAGCAGCAGCTGGCCTGCACTGCCCTTGGGTTGTGCTTCCCTGTCCCCTGGCATTTTCCCTCAGTGGCACTGGACCCAGGTTCTCTGTTCCATTTCTGTGGGTTCTTCTGCAGCACAACTACTTAAATTCACCCAGTGAAATGCATCTTTGATGCCTGTGCTGCTACCATGCTGACCTGGGGGGCCTGCTGCTCCAGATGTCCCCCTGATGTTCCCTGTCTCTGTGTTGTCTGCCAACTGCCCCTCTTTGCCTCAACCCACTTCCTGACCCACTGCTTCCTAGGTAGTGGCCTTCAGCCACTCATGTGAGCTGTTTCAGCTAAGTCAGCATTCTGGTTTTGCCCACCAGTGGGTTCATGGCATCTTCTGTGATACAGTCCAGTGCATTGGACTCCCTGTTCCTTCCATATCCCCATCAACTGTCCCCACTGCTGCCTCTCTGAGCTGCTTGCCCAGGCTGGAAGCAGAGCCATGTGGGCACCTAAACTAGGTTAACAATGTTTCAGGAGCTGCTGAAGTGCATTACCAGACACCTCTGTCCACATGCCTGCTGTAAGTCCCTCAGAGAACCTGGATGGACTTGCAGGCTGTGACTTCCTTTAAAAAAAAAAGCTGTGTTAATCCTTGTGCAACAAATCTCATTTCTCCAGGTTTCTGATCCACAGTGTTTGGCAGCTGGCTTGGTGCACAAGTCAGACTGAGTCCCCCAGAACTTCCTTTGCCACATTTCCATGGTGCTGAGTCTGACTCCAGTTTATAACCAGCTTTCTGGTGGAATTCACCCCTCAAACGGGGAGTCACCACGGACTGGTTTGCTCAGCTGACTCAACCTGACAAAAAACCCCTTTCCTCACTCACACCAACACCCCTCACAATACCTGCTTTCCACTGCTCCTTTGCTCCAGGCTTTTCCAAACTGAAGTCCTGGCTTCATTGCTGCTTTGAACCCGTCACTGGGTTTGAATCTGTCACTGGCTGCTGGGGCAGTTAATTAATTCTAAGAGCAGCTTGTGTCCGTGCCCCCTTGGGACCCTGCTCTTCCTGGGGCCTGTGGCTGCTTTTGCAGGAGAGTCCTTAGGAAGGAAAACCGCCTGGAGCTGCTGGTCACAGCAGGCTGTGCCCTGCACCCCCAGACCCTCACACTTTGCCCAGCCCCTCTCGCAGTCTCG